GTGGGTGCATTGGAGTTGCAGATTTTGCTGGGAGAGTTTGTTGCTGTAGATTTCAAGCGAAGTCGTTTTACAATGAAATGGAGCGAATCCGAATCAGAGGTTGTCCATTCTGATCCAGCGATCGACATGTCTCAGTCCAATGGTTGTCTATTCTAATCCAGCGACCTACTACCTACTACCTACTACGTGCTACCTACTACCTACTACCTACTACCCACTACCTACTACCTACTACTACTGCTGCTACTATTGCTACTACTACTACCACCACCACGGGGGGGGTGAGGGGTAAGTTCCCCCAGAAGTGGCAGTTGCTTAACTGGACCTGATCAAAACACCAAGTGAAGTCACACGAGTGCGATCGGTGTGCGAGCGGCAGCGATGCACACCTTTTCTATGGCTGAGGATGCAGGTATTGGGCTACTAAGTCTCCAAAATGGATTAGGTCGAAAGCGGACTGAAGAGCTACAAACTAGTCTATACAAGAGAACAGGTGCTACACACGTATAGCGTAGACACGCCTAGGGGACCTAGGACACTACCAAACACAAAACAGACACAAATTTTCTTCGTGTCGAAGCTTACGATATCTAAGATACAAAAGCTTGCATAGCAAAAGGATGCAAATGAATTACACGAGTTCTGACTTCGCAGAACTAGACCGTAGATGCCATTCTGGCTCATCTAGGTTGCGTCAGATAATCTTTACAAATCTACGAAAGGCATACTTGTTGCATCGAATGTTCCGGAATATCGGAAATCTTCTTCATCAAGTTAAGTCGTTAAGTCGAAATCAAATCTGTAGGGCCTTCATTTTAGATGTATCTGGGTCTATCAAAATGCGTTAAGCTCTTAAGTTGTTAGCTGTAGTCCAGCCGGAATATCGGCTTCTCAGAGGTTCCGGTACCCACGGTACCCAGGATTCCAAGACGATGACGAGGAACTGGTATGCCACCATGAACTCGACGCGCCCGAGGACCATTGGTCCGATGGCTGCCAGGAATATCCGGCCCAGCCTTGACGGGCTTGTTTATTCTGCCGAGACCGTTCCGTCAACATTTCGAGTCGTTCGGCATTCTTCTCGCTACGGTTCATGGCGGAGATCTGGCCGCGAACTCTGATCTTGTGTCGACTGGCAAGCGAAAATTTGCACTGAAACGGATGGTGGTAACCCAAATCGCTGCTCTTCAGACACAGATCAAGATGGTTCAGATGCTTAAGGAGTTCGTTGACCTTAATGGTAGTCTCTTTCTGACCGAGGTGGCAACTCGTAACCGACACGTCCACGATCATCCGGAGTATCGGATGTTCTCGCCCGCAACGTGTGCATGTCCTTGCCGTAATTTAAGGCGATCTGCAACAGGCAGTCGCAATCGGCATCCAGACCTTCCAGAGCGGCGAGCTGCTCACTGGCGAGGGTTGAGACCTCTCCCAGTTATAGGTGATGCGCTTACTCGGCTCGCGCTTCTTGTTCGCAGAGACAAGAATCTGGTCAAGGATGGTAAGGACAGCTCCGGTCGCCGGATCGGCGTGTCGATCGGACCGGAAGTTGCGGTTCGTGAACTGATTTGCATCACACACGATGACATCAACCTGGTCTGCCACGGCCGTGATCAAAATCTTCGTGATGGCGTTCTTACCGGCCGTAATACCTGACTGAAAGGCATGGGCATTGATATGAAAGGCGCAAACTCGAAGTTCAGGCATGTGCATGCGCTTGCAGTCATTCAAACTCCCGGTCCGGAATGTCGGACACTCGTGGAACAATGCCTCGCTTCAACATAAGTGGCGCATGCTTGTGCTACAGCAAGAGAGTCAGGGCAGACGATCACCTCCATGTTATCTGCTGGATCAGCACCTTCTTCTAATGCAACTCGGAGGTTCTTTCTTACTCCACGGTCATCGGTGATGCCTCCATCTGTTGATTCATCGACCTTGCCCCAGATCACGCGGAATGTCGCGGCATGGGCTACCCAGGCTAGGCGTTCGCCTTCGAGCTCGATTCGGCGGATGAGTTCCAATCTTGTAGTACCCAAATCGGTGGAACAAACTGCTGCAATTGCAGGTGACTCACCATCCGCCGGGGCAACGACACACAAACACTGATAATGGTTGAAAAGCTCCTTGTGTCGCTCGATGCCGTTGGCCTCCAGAAGGATCGAAATGTGTGCCGTGTTCCTGACAAGATAGTGCGGCAAAACGGCGTACTGATCCGTTTCTGCGAGCTCCCTGGATAGAGGCTGCTTGCCGTTAAAATGAGGCGTACGATTGATATCGCCAAAGTTGAGTAGCAAGACGACGCTGACATGTTCAGTCGATCGAAGTCGTCTTGCCTCTTCGAGATCAAAGTCTCCCTGGTTTGCGCGATATCCCTGCATGTACGAACGGCTTAACTCAACAATCTGTCGCATCTCCTCGCCGGTATATCGGCGGTTGGAGTCGTAAAATCAGCTTGGCCGAATGATGGGATATGGTGCCACATCGGATTGTTCGTCCCAGTGTTGAGCGATCGAGGGAATGCTGCGGCTCCTGTAGGTAGGATGGTTCGTGTAATGGTATTTGCTGACTCCTTCGAGGACAATTCGATCCATCGCTGCATACCCTGTTGAGCCGCCACCGAGAACAAGATCTTTGATTTCTTGCAAACGGTGCAATCGACCGGCATGGCGGTCATCTGGGTGCCAACCCTCGGACTCGGCCGCGAAGGGAATCGTGAAATCAATTTCTGCTGTGATCTCTTCGCGCTCATGCTCACCCAGCGGTGCCGGAATATCGGCGTCTGGGACTGTCGAACAAAGGTAAATGCTATTGCATGGACAATGGTTTTCGACCTCGTGATAGCAGTCAAGGCATGATCCATGTCCGCATGCTCTGCAAAAGAAAAGTACTTCGGAATTCGAACACACAAGGCAGGTCATCTTTTCTGGGCGATGAACGTATTTGGTGTCAGATTTCTGTGCCCTTTTGGCATCGCTGATGACTTCCCGCGCTCGAGAGGTCGCGCGCTTCTTTGAACTTGCTGCGATGTACTTGGTTTCCGGGGTGTCGGAAAACGAAACTCTGCGACCTTCGGATGGAGTGCGGGCGGTTCCTGGTGCATGATCAGCCTTCTTAAGGACAGTTCGAGTAGGTGTTCGTGATCGTGCTCGGGAGGACCATACCCTTGTGCTCTGTACTTCTTCTTTCTTGACTGCAGAGGACGATGAGGCAGCTGCGGAAGGATCGTCCGGCATATCGGACTCTTCCTTTCTCACAGTGCCTTTCTTGACCCAGGTTCCTTTCTGACGGGCTTCTGCGAGGTCATCCAACATGGTTTCATCTAATGCATTTATGACCTGAACATCATCATCATCGTCTTCCGCCGGAATATCGGCGTCGACGTCCATGTCGTCGTCATCATCGACATCGATCAGGTCTTCTCCCTCTTCCTCAGTCGTCTCCGACAATGAGCGTTTCTTGAGACGACGCATATTGGTTGCTTCATCCTTCCATTCGTCGTCGAGGGAGAGAAAGTTCAACCATGTCTCAGTGTGAAGCTTGGACACGCCGTGGAGCTGATGACGATCAAGTTTCTCCTCGGCCTCATTGCGCCATGCTTCAACCTCGCGAATCTTAATATTCTTAAATGCAAGCCTT